ACAATCGATTGAACAAAACGAAAGTCACTGCACCTGGTACACACCAACAGGGGGCAGTTTATCTCCGAATGAAAGACGTGTCGACCACAACATGGAACATGGACTGACCACATTGTCATAAAGCTACCATAACACTGATAATACAGACTTCTTCTTCTTCTTCTTCATCTTCTTCTTTTTTGTTTTTTTGGGTCATCATCATGGCAGGTTACCATAACAGACTACCAAACCAGCATTGACAAAGTTCGTTCCGAACAGCAAACAAGAAGCAGCTATTTCCACACACACAAAAAAAAAAAAAAAAAAAGTTATGTCAAACATGTGTAAAAAGTACTAAAAACAGTAAAACGATGCATAGCAAATTAAACTGCTAGCCCAGTTTTGAACAACTGATTACAGAGCAGAAAATATGAGACAGTATCTGGAATATGCTGTGGTGGAATTCCGTCAAACGACAGATCGCAAACCTCAATGGGCCTCGTCCATCTAATTAGTGACACGTGTGAATGGATTAACGAGATTCCCTATCTAGTATCTACCATCCTGCGAAACCACAGCCAAGGGAACTGTAAAGGGAAAAACAAACCTCGAAGGGCTTGACCGATGTTTCAAAACTTCAGGAGGTACACAAGGAGTTGCCGATGTTACTCTCCCTCCCCTCAGGTAAAACTACTGCGAGGGCACTAATTCACAACCTACTCCTGCCGACTCTCATTGCTTGGATAGAAGAAGAACTCAGGGTCATCATGTGTCTGACGAGTCTGATCAGAATAATTCTGCAAATCAGATACAGACTTGATGACCTGCATGCATTCCATTCAGGGAGGATATAGACGGGCCGGACCATACCAAACGCTACCGCCTCCCCTCGAATAGAGAATGTAGGGTCATTCATTATAGCTGCATTTGGGGCAACTTTCACCCTAGGTACGGCCATCACGACTGACTGGTATGCTCCATTCGAGGGACCGAGAGTAGCCTGCAACAGCTTGATGAGAATGCGATCCGCTCTTACAACCAGCTTTCTTACTTGTACATGCTAAGCTAGACCAAACATCTCAGGCTGTGGACTCAGGCTGTGGAGCAGCCAAGACCTCTCAGTCTCTCTCCACAATATCATCTTCCCCAGAACCAAACAGAGGGAAGCAGAGCCCGGCGTGGGGGCGGGGGGTGGAGGGGGAAGTCAAAATGAAGAGGTCATTCTAGCCATATTGGGCATGGTTTTGATGTCAGCATTGTCAGGCACTCCAATATCATTCATGTATTGGTTCTATCTTAGAAAAGAGGGTGCCAAGTCTTTCGGGGACATCCGTTAAAATTGGAAAAATTTCAGATCACCATGGCCCCCGCGCAGGGGTGACACGCATAAATCGAAGAAACAAAAAAGAAGAAACAAAAAAGGGTGCCAAGGCAGACTGCCTTTGCTGCATTTTCTGCTAGCTTAGCGCACACACCAATCGTGCTCAGGAAAACAAAACAACAAAAAACGTTCAGACGGCTGCAACACAWGACTGTTAAGTGTGGAACRTCGCCGCCCAATGCTTGGGATAAGAGAACGCCCCATGTGAGCAGAAAACACATGCCATGATATACCTCTGCCAATGCCACAAGGCCCAACACGTGCAAATGAGCAGATAACCCTTAGATTGCACTCCMATATCATTCATGGATTGGTTCTATCTTAGAAACGAGGGTGCCAAGTCTTTCGGGGACATCCGTTAAAATTGGAAAATTTTCAGATCACCATGGCCCCTGCGCAGGGGTGACACGCATAAATCGAAGAAAGAAAAAAGAAGAAACAAAAGAGGGTGCCAAGGCAGACTGCCTTTGCCACATTTTCTGCTAGCTTAGCGCACACAGCAATCGCGCTCAGGAAAACAAAACAACAAAAAACGTTCAGACGGCTGCAACACATGACTGTTAAGTGT